TTCATTTTAACAAAAAAGTACTTTTTTTTCATGATATAGAAAAAATATTTTCTTTCATTTCAACAATTTTTTTTCATGATGTAGAAAAGTATTTTCTTTCTTTTGAACAAAATAAGTACTTTATTTTCATGTTGTAGAAAGAGTACTTTCTTTTTCAACAAAAAAAGTATTCTATTTTTAGTTATGGAGCACAAATTTCAACGTTTTTTTGCGTAAAAAATAAAGCAACATATTAGTTTTTTTGGTTTTGTGTGAATTTTTAGAAGAATAATTAAATTCTTGAAGAAAATAGAATTCTGAAAATGTTGGGTATTTGGGGGGGGGGAGGGGGAGCACAGACAACATGAGGATTGGGGGAAGAGAGGTGAGAAGAGTAACATAAAAAATTATTTTCCTAAAAAATATTTTTTACCCTCTAACCTAATACTAGAAAATATTTTCCGAATTTTTTTTTCACTCACCAACCAAACAAGGAAAAATAAGTGATAAAACCACTCATTTTCCATAAAAATATTTTCTAGCAAAATATTTTCCATGAAAAACATTTCCTTCCTACTAAACACACCATAAGAGTAAACATCTCAACCGAACGTTGATTGGATACCATACTTAAACCCGACAAAGAAAACCTTAAACGGAAAAGGGCCCAGTTTTCATGCTTAAAAAATCATAATGACAGATTTAACAAGTAAAGAGTGGGAGAAGGGTATGGACCTTATAGCAGAAAAACACTAATGAGACTGTTCAAACGTCACCATTGCATTTTCTACTAGTACTTAATTTCATGTCTTATTTTCAAAATTAGAGTTCAGCAGGAAGATTGAAGAAACATTACAAACATTTATTTAGTTATACGACTCTTTTCATATGAGATCTATAAAAAAGAAAAATCAGCGAATGTTCATATGAGTTTATTTTCACTTTTACTTGTTCAAATAACAATTAAGGTGAAGCAAGGTTAGGAACAACGAATCTTTTTATGATAAACAAATCCATTTTACAAGTTCTTTATTACGGGTAGTTCCTACAAAATAACGGACTAATGACGTATACAATACTTGAATTCCCAATGTAGATGCTACATAGTTGGTTTTTATCTTTCAGAGACCGTGAGAATAATAAGAATCCCTCGAGAAAACAATTACCGTAAGATGATAATCTCGTGGCCATTGAGAACGAATTGAATCAGATGGTTCTATCCCTCAATCTTTCTTACTTGCTCCTATCTTTCTTACTTGCTCCTGCAAAACCAAGGTAAAAAAGATTGAAAAAATCAGTCATTCACAACTGACCCCAATCTCTTCGCATTTATTGAGCATTGCCAAAACTAACTTAGTCGTCAAACAAAAAACCAATATTTTAAAAGGCGGGGGTGTGAGGCAAGACGTTTTACCTCTGACGAGGCGAGGCACAAGCTTTGATACATGGGGCGTAAGTACCACAGATCTTTAAATTTTTCTTATTTCAAGAGATTTTAAGATAGTATAAAATATAAAATAATTATAAAAATTACATTAAAATCACAAAATTATAACAAATAATCTATTTAAAATATTTATAAATTATAATTCAACTATGAATAATACGAAAAGTATGATATATATCATAATATGCAAATTAGTTGCAACGCCGTTACAACTCAAACATTAAAAGTAATGTATTCGATACGAAATCTTATATGTATCTCTTAAGGAGTAATAAATCTTGAAAGAATTTTGATATTATAATTTGATATTTCTTTTAAAATACTCCTTTTATTTAATATGCTTTCTATTTGAAAGAGAATTTATATAAAAACAAAATCCTCAATATAAATATAATTCTCTAGCATCATTTATATTTAAGTTTCAACAAGTTAATAAAGTGACACATAATTCACCATACAATACAATGATAACTAATTATTTGTAAATAGTTAATAGCTAATGCTGAGCTATTAAATTAAAAAGTGTTGTATCTCATAAACGTGAAAAAATAATATTTAGAAAAATAATTATAAAAAGAATTATGGACTATTATATAATAAAGACATAATAAAAGTTAATAAATAAATATTTTTTAAATGAAAGATTTATTTAAAATTTACTATCATAGCAGTCTTAACGTGCAATAATTTTTATTTTAATTATTACATAAAATACTCTCAACTTAATGCTTTATGATTAAGAAAAAAATAATTTTGAATTCAACGATTTATTTAAAAAATTTGAGGATTTACAAGATTAGTTACACATAAGCCTTACACATAAGCCCAGGGGCGTTTTATGAGTGCTCCGCCCCGAGCGAGCCCCGGACGAGTCCCAATTCTGCTTTTTAAAACAGAGCAAAAAACACTGAAAAGCCTCCCATAAGGGTGGCATCGAGCACTATATTTTTCCCAAGAGAATACACTTCAATTGAAATGCTTCAAAAACTGGAGATAAAAATACCAGTAATGACATATGTGGAAACAATCTGACAAAAAAGATGAACTAAAATTTAGAGAAGGCTCAAAAATCTAATATCAAGGTAAAGCCAAATACAGTCCATAAATAACAATAACATTAATAGAAACCATTAACATTGCATGATCACAATCACTTCTTAAAAAACTTAATATAAAAATGGAATAACAGCTTTTCTTTTCCTAGGATAATCTTCTCCAAATTTCTGCAAATACCATTCATGATTAGCACAAGCTCTAGGAACCAAATTAGCAAATGTATACAGAAAAAACCCAAACCCAGCCCAAGACCAGGTCATCAAAGCCCAGCCCAACCACTCCACTATCTCCCCCAAATAATTTGGACAGCTCACATATTCAAAAAGCCCACCTTTTGGTATCTTATATCCACCCCCTTCACCCTTCAGGCCCACTAACACTTTATCAGCCCAAACGTTTAACGTCATACCGGCGGTGAAAACCACTATCCCGCCGGCAAACCGAAGCCAAAACCACTCATCAGCATTAAAGTCAGCATAATGAGAAACCCATCTAGCTTGTACATAAGCATTCAAGAGATTAAACGCAAAAGCCATCATCGCGATACTCACCGGAAAGCCACTTTCCGGCGGGGGATTCTTGATTTCCCGGCGAGCAATTCTTGATTTTCCGGCGAGCTTAATTGGGTAAATGATGGTACGATTGATGTAATGAAAAAGGTAAGGAGAAATGAGGATAAATGATAATGGGTTGTTGTGATTTTGCCCAAAGGGAAAGAGGAGAAGCGTGAGCCAAAGTGTTGGACTCTCCATTAAGAACCAAGCTAACGGTGGTGAAATTGTGGGACCCCAACCGGACCGGTGGTGTTTTCCATAAGGGGCGGTGAGGAATTGCAAGGCTAGGAAGGTGGGTGGGGCGATGACGAAGAGAGAGAGGAGACTGTAGTGATAGATATTTTGATCTGTAAACATGGTGGATGTAATTGTTATCTATTTTCTAATTGGTTTTGTAGCAAAATTTGATTTCTCAGTCCAAATGTTGCTTTATAGAGAGATGGTTCTCCATGTGAAGAATAGAGTAAATTTAAGTAATTACCATAAATTACTTAAATAAATTCTCATTTCTTAATTCAGATATTATCTACCCAATATTGGTAACAGAGCTTGTTTGGATTAGATGAAAAAAGCGACTTTATAAATAAACAGTTATTTATTTGAATAGAAGTGTGTGAAACTGAAAAACAAATTGTTATTGTGTTTGGTAAGGTAAATACTTTTTCTGTTAAAATAATTGAAATATCCTTAAATCTGTTAATATCATAAATGAGTTGATTACTACAAAAATTTTAATTTCAAATTGATTCAAATATAAAACAATTTATATTTTAATTTACTCTTAGTTTAAACTGCCTAAGATAATGTTTATCGATATAAGATACTTTTAATTTTTAAATATAAATTAAAATTTCTAGAATATCTATATCTATCTATCTATCTCTCTATCTATATTATTATAAAAGTACGAATAATTTATACTAAATGTTGAACGACTAAAATATCCCCGAAATATTGATCGATTTTTATACCCTTAAATATTTGTATAATTTAAGGATTTAATTGTAAATTATCTAATGATGGAATTCTTTTTTATTTAAACTATACATACACCGATCCTACAAAGTTGATCCTACTTGTATTAGAAATGTACGATCCATAATTGTTGTTATTGCTTGTAAGGTTGTGTTTGTTTCTATTCATATTGTGATGACATCATAGATGTATAAGAACTATCTTATGAAATATAAAGTATGAAAAATATAGACTTTTGGATGTCATTTGGTGTTCAAATTTTAAGGTATTCAAGGGAACAATTTCTATTATATGATCTTTAATTCTATTTAATTTGGCGAAAGGTCTATTGCTTAATTTGGTTCTCTAAGTTTCAAACATAACCAACTGATTATGCGTTAAGGTATTCTCTCTCTACTTGAGAAACTATCTTTCTTTTGCACTTTCTATGTTACTTATCTAATTAATAATCAAAATTATAGTATATGTCCTTTTCTTTTTTATAGTATTTCTTGCGCATAAAAAGAAAGAAACCCTTAAATTGTGTGAGACTAAATAGTGCTGACTCATTAGAGTGAGAGTCAAGGTATGTGTTATTTCTAATATTAAAGCTCATGTAATATTCTCTTTGATATTAATTATATTATCTTTTTATTTTATGGAAGATGAGAAAGTTCGCTTTAATTTGCTTAATGATTCATATATTTAGGGCACTCTATTTTTTTGACATATTTTCTTTGCTTATTTTATTATGTAACATCTGTGTCCAGTGAAATTCTCTCACTATTCTCACCGAACATAGCAATTAATTTTTCTTTTGAATTTTTAATCTTCTTAAAAGATGACTTTTTTTTATTTATTAAAGTCAGTAATATTGTAGATATGCTTTCAATAAATCTTGAGCGTATGTAATATTTTAACGGAAGGCCAGTAACAACTAAAGTTTCTTCTTTAAAGATATCGGATAATTAAAAATAACAAATTTGAGATATATAGATGCGTATTATACGGGATGATGTAGTTGTCGGGAGTTTGTTCTAGCTGCATGTTGGAATCAAAAACATGTGAAAAATAGAAGGTTAACGATATAGACATAGTTGATTAATAAAGTCATGATTGATGCTAATATGAGGTAAAAGAATTTGGAGTGACGTAAAATATGTGATGATGAATATGGTGTCTGCAAACGCACATTAATTTGTTACATTAAGTTATTATATTAATTGTAGTAGTGTTGTATAAGATAAAAATTGAAATATTCTGTCACATAAATAATTGACTTAAGATTTACGTGCAACGCACGTACATAGAGACTAATACTATATTAAAAGCACGAAGACCCTTAGCAAAATATCGTTCGTCTTTTATACCCTTTAAAAAATAATTTCACACTAGACAAAATAATTATTTAATTATTTTTCTAATTTTTAGGATTTTGAAATCAACTAAAGTTCTACTTATTATACCTTTCCTTCTTTGGGCTATATAAAAAGTCCTAATACCTCAGCCAACATGTAACTAACGTGTATATTTTATCATCCAAAGCAAAGCTTAACTTCAATTGATAGATATCCTTCAATAATTTTAAAAGCAAAAAAAGAATAAAAAAAGATATTGAATTGGATATTACATTACTTAATTTAATTTTAAAAATATAAAATCATGAAGGCTCTTAGCGAAATCATACTTGCCTTTTATATTTTTTAAAAATAAATTTCACACTCGACAAAATAATTATTTAATTATATTTCTAATAATAAGAGTTTAAAATTAGCTACATTTTGACATTATTTTTCTAATATTTAGAAATTTGAAATCAACTAAAATTTTACATAAATAAATATTTTCTTAGTTGAACTTCTATATAATGAGTCCTACATGCAAGCTATAACATGACATGTCAAAACAATTTCCTTTTCTGAGGAAAAAAAAAACTTAAGGTTCGTTTATGTCCTAATTTTGAAAGAAAATATTCAAATTCAACTAATTTATTCTACTCACTATTACAAAAGTATGAGGAAAAACAGGAAGACTAACAATTAATATTGTAATTACAATTAGTGTTAAGTAGATGCATTTTTTATTAGGATATTGAGCATGAAAACCTAACAAAGCTAACGAATATAATGCTAATGAATTAGCATTTTCTAATTCCTTATGCTATTCAACGAGAATACACATCATACTTACTTTTGAAATTCTAATCCCTATCAAGTTTTAGTTTTTTAGATACCTCTTTTTTATAATTTCTAAAAAGTACACGATTAGTTTAAAACAAATTACTGAAAATATATTTAAGAATACAAAAAATAAAGAGCGAATGAAAAGTGGTTGACAAGAGTTAATGACATTGATATTTCTCCCAAAAGTAAATACACATATAAAGATCCAAAAGTAAAATATTATACCAACATTTTACCCTTTCAGAATACAATTCTTGTTGGATAAAATTATAATTAAAGTTAAATATAGTAAAAATACGGATGAACTAATATATAAAGAATTTGAATTAAAAAAATAAACTATTTTCTTTAATATTTAGAACAAATAATTAATTTGAATTAACTAAGTAATAGAAGAGTTTAAATTTAATTATTTTTTAAATTCATCATGTAAGTAAAGTTATTTTTCAGGCTGACAAAACTCTTAGGATACATTAATTTATCTACATAAGAAGAGCATTGGTGGTGACAAAAATTAAAATACACAGAGCAAAATTAGTGTATAGTATAGTATTAAAAGTCAAATTGGTAAAACCACAAACTTGAAGTGATAAGGATAAAACACTAGAAGGAAATATATATTCTATATGAGTTGTCATTAATAATAATAATAATAATAATAATAATAATAATAATAATAATAATAATAATAATAATAATAATACATTATTATTATTTGTATTTGTTCCAACAAATGACAACGCACTATATTTATATATGTTAAGTTATTTGTTGTAAAATATTAGATCAACATTAGTCATTTTTAAACTTTATATTGTTACTTATTAATTTTTGTCTATGAGCTATAAGGCAAACCTCTTCTTTCCAAAAGACCAAAAGATTAAATTTTTAATTTGTTTTATTTACTTGTTGATAAATGTATTTTTTTATAATGTTTGTTTGTTCTGATATTAAGTCATAAAAATAAAAATAATTTTCATAAAATATTCACGTAGAAGTCCTCATAAATCACAATAAAGTATATAAGAATTATAAGAATTTTTTTTGGCGGGATTCCTTTCCTTATTGATGTAATACCACGAAAATATTTCTAAGTATTTTAAGACCATTAAGAAGATTGGCGGGTGCTAATTATATCAATTCGAGTATGAACAAGACTGGTAATTTGAATGATATCAATTGATCATGATAATATATGTATGAGGTGCATTAAAAAAGGTTTAGGGTCTAAGAAGAGCCCTAAGGCTAAGTCAAGTTGAAAATTATATGATGGGATAAAGTTTCAAGTGAGTTGCATAAGATCTAACTTCAAACGAGCATAATTCTAAAGATATGAAGATTTATATGTTGTATAACCAATCAAATTAAAGCTCTTTGAGTCTAGTTTCCAACGCATCAAACCGTTCATCATTTGGAGATTTCTAGAAGAAGTTATGACCTTTTTACTAAAGGGTGACAGAACAGCTACGCGAGTCTTGCGTAGCCTACGCATGGTGCGTAGGCAAAATTAGCATGGAAGTGAAGGGGAGGGTTAAGCTGCGTAGCTAATCTGCGTAGGCTACGCAGCTAGCCTACGCAGCTCATTTTCTATAAAACAGGGGAGGTTCGGGGAGAGAGAAAAAGATAACATTTTTGGCAATGTCTATAAATAACAGCACTTTGCCTCACACAGCCGTAAATTATAAATACTGAAAGTCAAGAAATAAGAGCTTACCTGATGACCTACTAGCCTGAATAGAGTTGTGCTGTAGCATCCCATCTCAAGCCATATCTTCAGTTTGAATTAGGTGGGGGTATTTAGACTTCATTTCTTCCTCCGCTTCCCACATCATCTCTTCCTCATTCTTGCTTCTCCATAAAACCTCCACGGAGGCTACCTCCTTATTTGGTAGCTTGCGGATTTGTCGGTCTAGGATGGCAACTGGAATTTCCTCGTATGACAAGTCCTCCATAATCTGTACATCATCTGTGGGCACCACTCAGGTAGGATTTTCAATGCACTTTCGTAGCATAGATACGTGAAAAACCGGATGGACTGACTCCAATTCTGAGGACAATTCTAACTCATAAGCTACTTGGCTCACTCTCTGAATGATCCTATAAGGCCCAATATACCGTGGGCTAAGCTTGCCTTTCTTGCCAAACCTCATCACGACCATCATAGGTGATACCTTTAAGAATACCCAGTCATTAATCCCAAACTCTAAGTCTCGTCGCCATATGACTTCTGACGACTCTGAGCTGTCAACAGTCGCTCCCGGATAAGCTTTACTTTATCTACGGCCCGCTGAACTAGGTCTG